TACCTGCAGATACCAGTATAAGAAATACAGTCTAACTTGCCCATGCGACCACGTGTATTAAGCGACTTTTATCTTAAACGACCACTTTAAATTCCCCCCGATCATTTTCTCTCTATATCTTTCATGTATTAAGCGACTTTTGCTCAACGCGACCAGCGACCGCTAATTAGTCAGCTAATTGAGATCAATCTTTTCATTAAACGACCACTTTTACCTGTCAAGTAATTGTGTTTTTAGAGAACGCCACCTCGTAATGTCACAAGTGTCAACAATCAAAACACAACAAATAAACCTGTGAAAAACTCTATTTCCCAAACCGTTTTAGCGTATGCAAATGAAGTTAAGTATACCCGTGACGTGTATTATCCAATAATATCGGATAAACAATGCAACGCTCCGCCCCTACTGAGATGGTGTATACGCTTCGCTTGTTGACATTTAGACTGCATTGAATTGACCTTGAACTTCATCAGCAATTAAATTAATCGTAACAATTAGATGTAGTTTGTTTATTTCAAATGAAAAAATGCACAACAGAAAACATCTTCACTAATAGGGTTTTTGTGTTGGAGACAAGGAAAAACAACGGAGAAGTTAAAAAACTCTAGAAAAAATGTCAAACATGTACGTAATTTGTCAATTAATATCAGAAAGTTATTTTTTACATTTGTATCCATTTAGATTATCGTAGCATACTAATTATTCAACATTTATATAAAAATGAAGTTGAAAAACATTCCCACTTCATAAGAAAGATGTCATTTATAAATTTTGACTGTTATATCATGTTGACTGTCTTAAGAGACCGTTTCATTAAGCGACCGTTTTGGGTGTTTCCCTTGCGCAGTCGCTTAATACACGTTTGACTGTAAGTGCCGTTTGCAATGTGCAAATAATTTTCTTTGTCAGCTTCACAATATTTTACTTTTCAATACATTTTCAAAAAATTTTCATGAAAATTAGCAAGAATCTAGAGGCATGTTACTTTTACTAATACTATGTCTCACAAATATTGAAATTCGAACCTTACCCAGCAGCTTTTCTGACATCTTCATCAGAAGTTGTTTCCTCCTTCTCTTTCAAATCCTCTGTAAACGTGTTGTACATATCAAATGCTTGATCCTATGTTTTAATATCATATAATAAAACACCAAATGCTCCAGACATATACAAATCACAGACAGGAGTGTAATACATAGAGGATATTAAGTGAGTGTAGGTTTAATACTGAATTTATTAACAAGTTGAATAAGTCTATAATGTGCAAGCCTCTGGCAAGCATTAACATTATTCAACTGAACAAGTTCAATAAATTTTCTAATAAACGAGTTCAATAAATTTTCTATCAAACAAGTTCAATAAATGTAGTATTAAACCTACACAAATATGATATTCAATTTTTATCACATACCTAAAAAACATTTTTCAGTAAAAACGATCCTTTTTTCGAACGGCCTATATATTGTAACCCCAAATTTAGGGCATTTATAAGCTATGTTTGTATAACACAAGTAACGTCACGTCAAAATATATGCATGACTGTGTCATACCATTTTAAGGGAGTCACAAAAATGGGTATGTAATAGAGCAGTTCAATAACAAAAACTGTCGGAGGACAGTAAGGCTCGACTATTCGAAAAAAGTTGTCACAAGAGTGTTTACCGATTGAGTACGTTGAATATATTCCTTTTGTACGTTTACAATCCGCTTCCGCGACGGCATCCACGACGTTTCGCAGGATTAGCGATTTTTTACGGACGTGGACAGTCACGGACAGGCCTCGTCACGACAAAAATGCCTCAAACGAAATTAAATACTTTATCGATTACGAAAGAAAATACTAAAAAGCTCACCAAAATAGTGTTGGAGAACCCATAAGTTTATGATGCACCAATTACAGATTAAGAAAAACAACATCTGGTCTTCGGTTGCTAAAGAGATGTTATTCAAAAACCTAATTGGTATTCAATGTTTTTCCTTTTTCTTTTTACCTAATTCTTTGATGTTACAAATGGTTTTGGTATTAGAATGAAATTATATCATATTCTACAAATAATTATCCTCTGTTCGCTATACTATAATTAAAAGTATATAGAAAATAACGTACCTATGGAATAATACTCACGGACATGCACCAGACACGGATCACGGACGCGGGTCACGGATCGCGTACCAATGGAATAGCGGCCTAATAATGCTTACCTATGAAAACATAAAATTGACCCAAAAGGTACAAAGGCTTGTTATTAAGATGTTTTATCAAGTAAATCACTGCTTTATTATTATGAATGCATAAAATTGTCCCAAAAAAGGCACAAAACCTTCAGTAGTTATGGAGATAACAGCTTCCAAGCAAAACTTTACCATGAATTTCTAAGTTGAAAAAGGGGAGAAAAATCAGCCTAAATGCAAGATAGAATTATGGATCTTGGTCAGTGATCTACAATTATGACCCTTAGATTAATGCATGTGTGAAGTTTAAATAAATATCTTTAACAGTTATTGAGATATGTAAAACTTGAATGTAAACATTAACCAAGAGACTAAGTAGAAAAGGGGAGATAAATCAGCCTAAATGCAAGATAGAGTTATGGAACTTGGTCAGTGACATACAATTATGACCCTTCATGCATTTGTGAAGTTTCAAATCAAAATCTCTGACCTCAAGCAATAATTGAGATATTTGACTTTACAAAAAACTTTTACCAAGCAGACGCCGGGGCAACTACAATAGCTCTCATATTCTTCGAATAGTAGAGCTAAAAACAGTATTACATAACTGTTATAACACTGTAACGTAGCGTCATTTGCATAATATACAAACAAAGTGTTAAAGCACGCTTATATTAGCATTATACTGTCTATAGGCATGTCAATGAAACATGACTCTCCTTAACCGATAGCCCGCCACCATAGTATTCACTACTAGAACTACTTAGTGCCACTATATTTGTTATGTATTTAAAAATTTTACCCTTGTATGTTGTAATGGAAATAAAACAAAAACTGTTAGAATTACATCAATAAAACCTATATGAAATATGTTCAGCATTGTTTGTAGTTAATTTATCTCCCATTTTCAAAGTCATCATGACCACTTCTACCTGCACAGGTAAACTCTCAGGTGAAAATTACAGGTAAAATACAGGTAAGAATAAAAAACAGGTCAAAAAGTACTTAAAGCTGCATTTTTTTTACAAAAATCTTTATCAGCACACTTTTATAAGTATAACAGACTTGATTTTCAATTTAAACTATTATTGTTTGGCCTTACATGGCCTTACTTGACTGATATATACACTGAAATATTTAGAAAAAAATTCGACTTCGGCACAAGTTTGAAAATATGTCATATTATGATGTTCTATCACTATACCTGAAAAAGAGAGTTATGTAGCAATAAATATCTGTATTCAATCACTTCTGACTGGTTAGATAATTATTTCAACAAGTTTGCACCTATTTTATGCTTGTGAGGAGTCTGAGGAACTGTCAGCAGCATGATCACCATCTTGACCAGGGGCAGCGTCCGGCTGCAGAACTCGCTTGTAATGAACCAATGTGTGATACACACGAAAACAGTTTGGAACACATAGAACCTTTTCACATTCTGAGCACCAGAATCTAGTCTGTTTACGTTTATACCCTTGACGTTGTTTCTTTGGGGGGTTGCAGGCGCTACAGTCTCTGGATGGCTGTGCCTTCTTGGTACCGGGTTTCGCAGGGATGAGCTCGGGGAAGTGCCTCTCTGTAAGTCGGAGGGGCTTCTCTCCAGTCGATCTTCTGCCAGCAAATATGGATGGCTTCGGAGCATTAGGAGCTTCTAATAACAAAGATTCGCACAGAGCTCTCCGAAATCTGTAATGATCAAGCTTGTTTACATCTTCAGAATATTTTGTGTATAGTAAGTATGCATTGATCACACACAAGTTCAGTAGGTGAAAAAATAATTTCTTATACCACTTTGAAGTTTTCCTTAGACACGAGTAGTATTGATGAATTTGATCGGAAAGGTCCACACCTCCCATCAGTCGACAGTAATCTACCACACATGTGGGTTTCATCACTAGATTGTTTGTTTTTTGGTCAACCTTGTTCAGCACGCTCATAGAAGCTTCATGAATGGAAGAGATCATGTGCACAGCTCTCTTATCGAAATATTTTAGTACCAACAAGTCATTTTTTCTTCTGAAGACACATTCAAGCTTCTTCATTTTTCTTTTACATTTTATAGCAACTGGAACCCTCTTACGATTGCTTCAAAGTGTTCCACAAGCATAAGTATTGAGTAAAGATAATTCCTCAAACAGCTCGGGGGAATTGTAGAAGTTGTCAAGGTATACATGGTGCCCTTTGTCCAAGTTGCCAGTTTGACACAATAACCCAATGACAGTTTTTGTAGTCTTACATAGTTCTTCATTCAGACCCATAACATCACAAAATCTAGAACATGAAGTGTCTTCATGGCCTGTATGAATATCGAACCCCAGACAATACCCCCGACTTTGCCTCGCATACCTGATACAGCTTGATACCGAATCTCGTTGGTTTCGAAGGGTTGAAAACCTTGAACCGTAAGTTGCCCTTCCATGCGCACGTTGCCTCATCTAAGCTCAAATCTCTATCTGGACTATACACATCCGAGAATGCAGAATTTATAGCTGAAATAAACGGTCAGATTTTATATAGCGGGTCATAGCCAGGCTCACCTTGTTTTGGCTGTAATTCATTGTCAGTAATGTGAAAATTGCTCAAAATCGATTGAAAACGGTTCCTGCTCATATTTTTACCAAAATAAGGGGTCTCATCAATGTCACTATTGGACCAGTACTTTTCAATGTCATCTTTTTGAACTAAGCCCATAACAAGAACGAGTGACAAAAATACTTTCATTTCGTCTAAAGTCACGGGATACCAATTCCTAAGCCTGGATTCCGGTTTCAAATTCACCCCTTCAATTCTCCTTTCAGCAAAGACATTGCTTTGTTCAACCAAAGTTTTGATAATTTCATCATTCACAAACAATTTCATGTAGTCTAATGGGCTAAATCCTTCAGTAGGATCATTCATGCGAACGTCCGAAACAAACGGCGCATTTATGGGTGGGGTGTCAATTTTAGAACAACCGTCAACCTTGTCCGCTTCGATTTCTAAGTCATTCTCTGGAGAAAAGTCACTCATGTTTAATGTTCTCAACACTTCACCTCTCCTTACAGCGATATCTTCCTCCAAAAACCCTTCAAAATCTGAGTCATCGCTGCTTGAATCGAAATTAAACACATTGTTATTTTCATCGGGTATGGCGGCTGCCATTTTGAATCGCGAGAATAAACGAGATAAAAACCTTGTTTCAATTATCTAATCAATTAGCGAATAATGACAAATAGTTACTAATTTTAGATTGGGAAACACATTTTACATTTCAAACAACCAATCAGAAACTATATTACAATAATTTTCGGCTATCTTCGGACTCAAGTGCCCGTATAACTACGTCATACGAGGTCACCCAAAAAAACAACAAAACACGCGACTGGCAGAGACTGACTTGTACAGTCGGCGCGGAATTATACGCGATTGGCGGTCTAAGGGTTAATTGTAAATCTTTCTTTAATTTTGGATATGCTATAAATAGAATTTTATATTTGTGTAGATCCAATACTAAATTGAAAAATAAAAGATAATCATAATATAATTAATCAACTCTTTCAATAAATTTAGTTTTAAATCTACACTCACTGAAAATTCTCTATTTGTTCTTTATTATATAAGTAAGAAGGCATAAATGGCAAGTCTAAGACAAAACATGGCATGTCAATATTAAATGTGTGGCCATGTGGCTGAGTGGTTTAATGTGTCAGTCTAGTAATCTAAGGATTGCTGACCATGTGGGTTCAAACCCCCTCAAGGGCAAGCCGTTGTTTCCTTGAGCAAGAAACTTTACACTTACTGCTTAGTACTGGTTAGTTCCAAGAACTGATTTGAGAGTGTTTAAATAAGCTGATAGCTTCCAACACAATCAAACTCCAATAAATTTGTATATTATGGAATGTTTTTTAACATAAATACAAATCACAAGCTTGTGTCTTGGGTTATATTTGCATCAGCCATGTTATACATGTTTATTTCTATTTATTTCTTTTTGAAAACAATAAAAAGGAAGAAATAAATAATGATAACCTATAATCTATTGAAGAAAATTGCTGTCAGTCATTCAAGTTTGTTTCAGTAAGTTTAGAAACAAATTAAAGGAATGTCCGATTTAAAATGTTGATAATGTAATTAATTGGTAAAGATTTGGTTAAATGAAATTTGGTTTTCGCAAAAGTATAAAATGCATGATTAACAATTGTTAAACGACACAAGCATTTCTGTTACAAACTCTTCACTTATTATCATTATTATCAATAACAATAAAATTGATATGTATATATACAGTCGGCATCGTACTTGCGTCCACCTTTATTAAGCGACGTTTTTATTAAGCGGCCGCATAAAATCCCTCCCGATGATTATTACTATATAATTTAATTCCATTAAACGACGATTTTATATCGCGGCCAGCAGCCACTAAATGTCGGCCCAAATGTACAAAATTAAGTGTTAAAGTATCTATTAAACGGCCGTGACAAACAATCGTCCCTACGGGCATTCTCATCTGTGTAATCAGCAAGTAGGTTTGATGTGTACAAGCAAACAGAAACAAATATTTTTCATGGTCATTGGTCACAAATAATTGTAGTTTAAAAATAATTGAATAACAATTGCAACCGTTTCAAAATCGGATTTTCCGATCGTAATATTTATTGTGACATATTTTGTCAGAGCAATAACGTATCACAACACCGCATTTGCATATTTTTGTCATGTGCTCAGAGTGACCTCCCTTATCGAAAATGACGTCGGAACGAGCGAAAAAATGACAGACAACTAATAAGACCGGATAAATTGAATGAGGAAATCGTGCATGGAATTGAGTCTGAGTAAATAGCAAATGTCATCGTTTGTAGTCAAAATAAAATCGTGAAACGTAGTGGACTAAACATTACAGAACCGAGCTGATGGTGTAGGTGCTCATCTGATGCTTTATAAAATACATGTAGTACCCAATTAAATATGACCCTTCGACAAAAAAGACAAAAAATCCTAGATCTCTAAAAACCTTATTGAATTTGAAATCGGGGTAGTGTGAAAACTAATTGCTGAAAAATTCAAGAAGTTTAAAACTTATTGCACAAAAAATTATGCTGGCTGATGATTTGAAAGTATGTTTAGCAGGGAATGTGTATGAACATATGAAAAATATGTAAGACAATATGCTTTGTTTCATGGTTAAAATGACCTGTTGATAGTATTATGAGCGTAGATCACATTTGTACACAAATTTCTACTAAAAAACAAACACATATTGATTACTTTTTTAAAAAAAGGCATAAATGTTATTATGAAACTGTAATACATACATAATATTGTACAGTCTTTGTTTTTATAAAAAGATTTTACTATATCAATGACTTGTAATAAAAAAAATCTCGAATTTTCCAGAATTCTATTGAGAGACCACTTTATTAAGAGACCACTTTTTGGCAGTCCCTTGAGTGGTCTCTTAATACAATGTCGACTGTATTATAATCATGTAAATTCTTACTTTAGCCTCGGTCGAAAGTTCATCTTTCTTCAATGTGACCTGGTTCAAAGTCGATGTCACGGAGATCATGATTTCTATACTACTTGTGTTGATTGTCGATATTGTATTTAAAACGGCTTCACGTACCTGTAATAACATTTATAAATGGTATTTGAATCAGCGATGTTTGAAGTGATTAAAATAATTAGAAAATATTTTTATTACTTTGACTTTTCATTTTTCTTTTACACCTAATGTTACGATTATATTCACTTGCTCACAGGTTATCCATGAAAAAATCATTCTATAAATTAATCAAAACAATAAATCAAACAAGTTTCCTCAGACAAGACATCACAAAGTTCCAAAATGTCTAAGTTTTTAAAAGTTTTGTCTTATAGAAATAGACACATGGTCTGAAACTTTAATTATGGTCCATGGCTTCTTTTCAAAATCATTTGCCCCACAACATAAAGATACATATATAATTGCAAAACCATTTTCCTATACTGTATACAGTAAGATAATATGAAAACGAAATCCCTAAAGAATGCCAAAAACCTCAAACCTGAAAATGTTGCAAGCTCAGTTTGATTGAGCTTTTTCACAGTCGGTAAATGAAAGTTCAAATAATTTTTGCCTAAAAGTCACAGTCTTTCTATCATAGTGATATTCAGGCTACATATAAAATCTTTCAAACTCATATTATCCGTTCACCCTTAACCTTCTGAGTTTTTTTTATGGATTTACCCAATGCTTCGATTTTGGAACAGTCCATTCTGCGTTCAAGGGATTTCATTATCAAAATACCAGGATTAATTATTATTAAACTCAAACAAGAGGGCCATGATGGCCCTGAGGTCGCTCACCTGTATATAGGCCCCCCAACCCCCACCCCAACGTTGCAGGGCCAATTTAACCCAGGGGCTTTTATTGCACAAACTTGGTAGACACCCATAAGAAAATGTTTCATGCTAAACATCTCAGCTCTACCTCATTGGGCTTTTTAAAAGAAGATTTTTTTTAAAGTTTTTACTATACACATATAGTTAAAAACAATGACACCCCTGGGGCGGGGCCAGTTTTGACCCCAGGGCTTTTATTTGAACACACTTTGTAGACACTTACTAGAAGATGTTTCATGCTTAATATCTAAACTCTAGCTATTTGGGTTTTTTCAAAGAAGATTTTAAGTTTTTGCTATACACATATAAAGAAAATCAATGACCCCCGGGGCAGGGCCAATATAGACCCCAGGTCTTTTATTTGAACAAACTTTGTAGACACTTTCTAAAAGATGTTTCATGCTGAATATCTTAACTATTCACTATACACATATAAGGAAAATCAATGACCCCCGGGGCAGGGCCAATTTTGACCCCAGGGCTTTTATTTGAACAAACTTGGTAGACACCTATTAGAACATGTTTCATGCTAAATATCTTAGCTCTAGCTCTTTGGGTTCTTTAAAAGAAATTTTTTTAAGTTTTTACTATATGCATATAGGGAAAATCAATGACCCCCCGGGGCGGAGCCAATTTTGACCCAAGGGCTTTTATTTGAACAAACTTGGTAGACACTTACTAGAAGATGTTTCATGCCAAATATCTAAGCTCTAGCTCTTATGGTTTTTTAAAAGAAGATATTTAAAGTTTTTTCTTTCGGTTGCCATGGCAACCAGAGTTCTGCATGGAATTAAATTGTTTGAACAATTTTTAAAGGTGACCACCAAAGGAACATTCCTGTGAAGTTTGGATGAAATTGGCTCAGTGGTATATGAGGAGATGTCATTTAAAGTAAAAGTTTACGGACGGACGCCGGACGGACGCCGGACGAAAAGCGATCACAAAAGCTCACCCTGTCACTTTGTGACAGGTGAGCTAAAAACACACATCAATGTGCAGCAACAAAACAACTAAACCATGGAACTTGACATGTACAATACAAATTATGCAAAAAACTTCAGTTTAAGTTTATTTATAAACATCGTAAACATTGCTAAATGGTCAATTAGGATAGTGATTTTACCTTCTTATTTTCTTCTTTTGCCATTTCTTCTTTTTCAGTAGCACTATAGTTTGAAAAGGTAATGTTTGCATCTGGAGGTTTAGTATTAAGAGTGATTGAAACAGATTGCAAGTCATTCAAAATTTCTGTAAAAGTAAACAGAATATATGTAAATATATACTATGTGCATGTTTGAGTAAAATATTTTTATTGAAGAAATGAAATTTATTGAAATCTATAATATTCTTACTGAATATGTCTTATTTAAATAAAAGAAAGTACAAACTATGTATGGGAATATGCATTCCTTATTACGGGTCAAGTGCCTTTCTTAAAAAAACTGCCAGTTTATTTAAATGACACTATATATTAATGGTGTATCAACTTATATTTTTATAGTTACCTCAAGTATTGTTTTATTTGCCATTTTTTTAACTAGGAAGAAAAAAAAATGTGCATTATCTCCCATTTTTCAAGTTTCTTAAAAATATTTTCAGTACTTTTTGCGTAATCCTGGGTTCCAGGTTTGTGGACTGACAGACAGACAATTCTGAAGAGGCACTATACTGTTAGTTTACTTAAAATTTTCAAAATTTATTTGATATCATATAATGCAAAAATAACACATTTTACCAAAAAACACACAATTGCAATCAAGAAAATGGCTTTTTTACTAGACACTAAAGAATAAGTAATTTCATGCATAAAAATAAAATTTAACCATTCATTAAAGAAGTGATAAAAGAAATTTATGTCTATAAAAAAGAAAATCATGAAGAAATTTTCACTCCTTATATAATATTACTTTAAATTCAAGGTTACCGACAACTTCTTCTTCAGTAGCACTTTCTGTTAGGTTGCCACTTAAATCATCTACTGTATTTCCAAGCTCTTCATTTGTAACAGGGGTTGGTTCCACCTTGTGTTTAAAAAGAAATGCTTATGTAAGACAAAGAAAATGTCAAATGTTATGGTTGAGTTTTACTTCACAACAACACAATAGAGGTTGTATGGCAACTTTCCAGCTTAGTGGTGGAGGAAGGCCTAAGGTGCCCTTCTGTGCATAATAATTCAGGCACAAACAAGCATCTGAGTAGAACGAGTAGTAGTGGTGGTTGAACTGTGCTCTGGTGAATTCAATGTGGCTTACTGTCGTGACCCGGAGTGAAAACTACCAACACCACCACTGAGTAGAACCACAAACATACTATAAGTTTGCTTGGATAGCGTCCTCACATAAAAGAAACTAAAATCCAACAGCAATGTGGGTCAAGTGGTTCGAAGTCTGCAACCATAACCACTTGGTCGTGAATGCTCAGCCCATTAATATTTCGTGATTTAAAATTTGATAACTATAAATTACCTTTCTATTGATTGAACTCATTCATCAAGGTTCTTTTACATCAAACAACTTCCGTTATCAAATGAGATGCGCACTAACCATAATCGTGACAATCAGTGCGCTTCTGATATTCAAGCTAGTCCGATGTGTATTCGACAGCTTGTAAACTTTACAGTTTACTATATACATGTCCGTGCATTTATTGTTTTACAATTGCGTACTGTACTATAAATAAAGCGACGCCGTATTATTATTATCAATAAGACATATTATTTCTATTATTTATTGTATCAAAATATTTCTTTGACGTGGTCAAGGTGTTTATTATTTTTCGTTCAGAAAAATATTTCGTTCAAAATAAATTTTGAATCGATAAATTGTAAACACATGTAGGAGTGTTTCCGGTTTTAATTTCATCATGGCTGACTCTATGATATGCAGAATTCTTCTTTAATTTTGTTTCTAAAGGCAGTGGAAAGATAGAAATGACACATGACAAGGAGAACAATCGTAAGAATTCATCCGGCACGGCCGGAACGAAGAGTAAATCTACAATCCTGTTCAAAAGCCCAGTGGTAGTTCCTCGTCCTCCGTGCAAAACCAAAATATAAACAAGGAGGTTATATAAGTTATGAAAGAACTAAATTACAATATTAACACCCAGAATAAACGCATTGAAACAGCAGGGATGAAAGAATTGAACAGTTAGCACAGAAGTTTGAGTGGTATTTTTCTTGATGCGGGTCAAAATGACTATGATATAATTCTTGTAATTATGATGACCCAGATGAAGTGTCAGATTTTTAATTAATCCTGCATTTGATAACGATTCGTCGTCTGAACCTCCCAGAAAAAGACAAAAAAACTAGTGAACAATCAGTGATTTTTCTCACTTAATTGGAAAGAGGCATTTATATTAATAGCCTCTTCATTTTGGGAAAAATATCCCTAAAATTGCTGATTTGGGAAGTAAAAAAGCTGGTTTTAAGTTCAGATTTTGGGAAAACTGCATGATTTTAAAGAACATTTCAATATGGAATTTTTTTCGGAGTTTATAAGTAGAAAATTCACTGACAATCTATATTTAAGACTTTTGGGTGAAAAATTCCTTCAATCTGAGTCTGTTGACAGTGAAGTGAATGATGATTTAGCTACTTTTGTTAATAGTGCATTTAGGTCAGGTATATCCGAAAGAAAAGAGAAAAAACAGAGTGAATTAGTAAAAAGAGATACACCGCTCCAATAATTTTGAAGCTCTGGTGAAGACTAGGGTAAATCAAGGTATATGGCGTCTGCTCAAACCACATTAAACAGACTCAGATGACTCTAAATAACTATGTTTCCAGAATTTTATTGTTAAGGCAGCAACAAACATAACAAAACTCTTAGATAAACACAGTGGAGTGTTTGATTCAGAAAGTTTAGATTGGGGTTCAAACACTCTGGCTTTATTAGGTCAAGCTAATAAAATTGCTTAGCAACAGGCATAAGAAAATGCACAAGGCGGATTTAGATCCAAAGTATCATTATTTAGCATCATCCAGTCTACCCTTCACTGATCTTTATGTTATATGGGGAGGATTGTGATGTGAACAAAAAAATGTCCGTGAGATAAATGATATGAACAGAATTGGCCGCTGTGTAGGTAGAGGATATACAAACAGAGGCTCAACAATGTTTAGAGGTCTCCATCCTTTTCCGAAGAGGAGGAAGAGGGCGTGGTAGATGGCCAAGGTTTTTGAAAGTCAGACTGTGCCAAAAAACCTGAAAATGGCGCCAAGAAGCATTAAATGTAAGTGAATTTCAAGCTGGTAGATTAAAAAGTTATGTTGAAAATTGGAGAAATATTACTTTTGATAGAAATATACTTGATATTGTACAGCATTGTCATATTGAATTTATGCAAGGTGTAAATCCTGTTAAATTTGATTGTAAGAAAGTTTGGTTTTCTGCCAAAGAAGAGAAAATTATAGATAAAGAAATTGAACTAGAACTGTAGCCAAAGGACATGGATGCCCCCACTGTGCAGATGTGCTCGTAAACAAGAGCATGCATATCTGTATGGAAGTTTAAGCAAAATCTGCCATCTGGTTTAAGAGGAGTTGCGTTCACAAAATTTATATGTGGTATATAGTGAAAAAATCAATAAAGGGCCATAATTCTCTTAAATTTGGTTGCATCAAAATTCCTTCCTTTACTTCCATCTACACATTTAAGGTTGTTCATCCTTCCTTTACTTCATCTACACATTAAGGTTGTTCATCCCTGGAAGTTTAAGCAAAATCTGCGCCATCCGGTTTAAGAGGAGTTGCGTTCACAAAATTTCTACATAGTATATAGTGAAAAAATCAACAAAGGGCCATAATTCTGTTAAATTTGGTCGCAGCAAAAATTCCTTCCTTCACTACCATCTACACATTAAGGTTGTTCATCCCTGGAAGTTTAAGCAAAATCTGCCGTCAGGTTTAAGAGGAGTTGCGTTCACAAGATTTCAGGATGTACAGACAGACGTGAGGATGTACTCACAAAATGGTACTTATGTGACTTTTCCTTAGATAAGTACGGACGGACAAGTGCAACGCTATATGCTCCCCACTTTGTGGGAGCATAAAAATTATAAAAAATGAAAGTTATTATTTTATAATTTGATAATTTTTGTTATACCTAAACGAAATGGTGAATTTAGAATGATTTTAAATTTGAAAGAGCTTAATAAATTTATTGTTTATCATCATTTTAAGATGGAAACTTTTGAATCTGTTCTTAAATAAGTAAATTCATAAACATGGTTTGCCTCTATAGATCAACGCCATGCTTACTATTCTGTTCCAATGGCCAAAGAAGATCAGCTTAAATTAAGATATCAACAAGAGCCCGGTTTGAGCCGGGTGATGCTCCCCGAATAGGTTTTGGACACAGGAAAGTACACCTCTTGTAGTTTCAGAGTTATGTCCCTGGAAAAAGTTTAAAGTGCAATAATTCCAAAATTAGGCAAGGCAGAGTTACTGTTCTTTGCACTGCACTTCTAATCAATGTGATCTATCAACCTACAAAGTTTCTTGATGATATCTCTTTTGATTTCCGAGTTATGTCCCAGACAACTTCAAAAAGTAAAAATAAACAAAGGGCAATAACTCCAGAATTAGGCAAGGCACAGTTATGATTCTTGTGCACTGCACATCTAACCACTGAGATATATCTACCAACAAAGTTTCATGTTGATATCTCTTATAGTTTTACAGCTATGTCTTGGACAAGATTTTTCTAAAAGGGGAGATAATTCAAAAATGAGGCTTAACAGTTATGGTTCTTTTGCACTGCACCTCTACTCAATGAGATCTATCTACCTACAATGTTTCATCTTGATATCTCCTATAGTTTTAGAGTTATGTTCCGGACAAAGTTCAAAGTGTTTAAAATAACAATGGGCAATAACTCAAAAATTAGTACAAAAAGAGTTATTGTTCTTATGCACTGCACATCTACCCATTGAGATCTATTCACTTACAAAGTTTCATGTTGATTTCTTTTTTAGTTTTAGAGTTATGCCCAGGACAAGATTTTTCTATAAGGGGAGATAATTCAAAAACCGGGCAAAATAGAGTTATGGTTCTTTGACATTACACTCCCCCTCAATGCCCTCTACCACTGTATGAAGTTTCAACAAATTATCTCCAAGGGTTTTCAAGTTATGCTCCGGACAAGACAACGGACGGACAGACGGACAAGGCGCCGACTATATGCTCCCCCGAAATTTTTCAGGGAGCATAAAAATAAGGGAAAATCTATCAGTATGTTGCATTACCAAATGTTATTACTTGTGCGCCATTATTGTTCACAAAAATGATGAAACCTGTATATGCATCTTTACGCATGCTGGGACACACAAATTTTGGTTATATTGATGACTCTTTATTAATGTCAAATTCCTTTACTGGTTGTGTTCAAAATGTAAAAGACTTAATTGATTTGATGTCAAATGTGCGATTTGTTATTAATGAGAAAAAATCTGTTTTATTTCCAACAAAGAAAATTACATTTCTCAGAAATGATATTGATTCTGAAAAAATGAGTGTCACTCTACCATATTCTAAGGTACAAACTATTGTTCAAGCATGCAATGAATTAACAAGAGCACCGCTAGGCGGAGCACTATATGCCAGAAAGTACTTTTTCTTTTAGTAAGGATGAAGCATTTGTAAGACATGGGAATTAAATACAGTATTACCTCCTTCAAAAAGCAATCCTCCTTTATAGCTGAAAAACGTTCATGTATATATACAGTTGCTGTTTTCAAAGCAACACCATCAAGTTGTTACCTTGTAAGTAAATATTGCTACAACGGATGGACGAAAAGACGTCAGGGGTATAAAGCTGTTAATCCTATAAAATTTTACAGCTGTAGGTTGATTAATACTCGAGTTATTGAGCGAAAACTGTTTCAAGTTTAAAGGTGATAGTGACTTTGACCTTGTGACCCTAAAATCAATAGGGGTCTTCTACTCAATATGGACAATCATCCTATGAAGTTTGAATACTGTGGGCCAAATGGAACTTAAGTTATGCTCCGAAAACCA